ATTTCTCGAAATAAGCTCTATTTGAGATAAAATGGGAGTAAGCAGTCTAGCGGAATATTTACCTGACAAATATCCACTTAGAATAACGTTGCGTGACAAAAGGATTTCTGCTTTCAGTTGTTAAAAGTAGGAAATGTAGAACGCCCACGGGCCAAATCATCCGCAGCACCCACACGGCTAAACAAACGGTCACACACGCCAATATGAGCCTTTTCTGCTGGAACAAAAGCCCCCATTTGAGCCAATAAAACGATCAAAGCATTCTGGCGCAAAAATGTGCTTTTACCCGCCATATTCGGCCCTGTAATGAGCCACAAACGTTGATCGCCACTTAAAGTACAATCGTTGGTAACAAATTGTTCGCCACTTACTTTTAGAGAATCTTCAACAACGGGGTGGCACCCCTTTTCAATATGTAAAGCATGTGTCCCATCAATTTGAGGATACGTATACCCTTCCTCCACCGCTAATGTTGCATGAGACGCTGTAACATCCAAGCGAGCCAAGGCCTGTGATAAGGTTGACAGTTCTTTAGCATAGGACAGAACACGTGAAACCAAATCCTCAAAAAGCTGTAACTCTTGTCTTAAGACCTCTTCAACAGCATTATTCAACTTGGCTTCTAAATCAGCGAGTTCTGTTGTGGTAAAACGCATAGCACTCGCCAACGTTTGTCGGTGAATATACTCTGAATCGGGTAACTTCTTGGCGTGTTGGGCGGAAACTTCGATATAATATCCTAAAACATTATTGTGCTTTATCTTTAGGGTATTCACGCCTGTTTCTTGAACATAACGTGTTTGTAGATTTTGAATCAACGTACGCCCTTCATCGCGCAATTGAATACTCTCATCTAACTGAGTACTGTATCCTGATGCGATAAACCCTCCAACCCTGGCAAGGAGGGGAAGATCTTCCTCTAAAGCGAAAGAAAGAACCTCTGAAAGTTCTTGGTACCCTTCAAGAGCTTGGAAACATTTTTCTGCCAAAATGGTTTTCTCTTCATAGCGCATCCCAAGCTCTTTTAACGATACAGCTTGCTGCAAAGCATCTCTCACAACACCTAAATCTCTAGGTCCTCCACGATTTAAGCTAAGTCGTGCCAAAGCACGTTCAAGGTCAGGAACCATTTTCAGATGGGATCGACAATGGGTTATGAAGTCAGGATGTTCCACGCACCAAGACACAAAATCAAGCCGTTCTTGCAGTCGTCCAATGTCTGTTAGAGGGAAGTGGAGATCATGGAGCAAACACCGTCCCCCCGCATTCGTCAACGTGCGGTCAATCACTGAGAGCAAAGAGCCTGAACGTTCCCCTTTTAAGGTTCGTTCAAGCTCTAAATTAAGCCGCGTTGCTGTATCAATGGACAAAAACTTTTCTTCACTCAACTTTCGTGGAGGAAGCACATGAGGCAGCCCTCCCTTTTGAGTCAATTTTACGTAAGATAATAAGACCCCTGCAGCAACCCATGCTTCCGCACAGAAGTTTCCTATCGCCTCTAAAGCTTCTGTTTTAAAGGACTCACGGACAGATTCTTGAGCATTGGCTTCATTAAATCGGCTCTCTGGCAAAAAGACCATAAATTTATCCCAACTTTGTATAGATTGTGCAAAGGTGCCTTCTCTCAACAAACGCTCTGGGAGCAAAATTTCTTTTGGAGACAAGCGAGATAAACTGGAGGCCACACTAGACAAAGACGTTGTTTCAATAAAAAAAGTTCCTGTTGAGATATCCAATGC